AAAATATAAAATAAAAACAAAAGCAAAACACATTTTAATTTGTAAAGTAATTAGAGTGTGCAGATATTACAACATACCATAACCAATGTAATATCTCCAGCACAGTTATCCACGTTATGATAAACATTTAATTGGTGCAGGTATGATCGTTGGCTCCTTTTTTTTTCAAAAATCATGCATGCATGATTAGACCTCACATTCAATTCATGAAGACGTGTGGATCATACAGATAATATCAGGAAGCCAAAGCCACATCTAAAAAGATGAAAACTATAATGCACTGAATCAATGCTTCACGCGAATCAAGCATACATGAATAGCAACAGTCATGTAGTCCAAGAGATCACTAATCTGCAAAATATTAGGCAGGAAGCGTTTGACCAGTACTAGAAAACCATCAAAAGAAACAATTTTGGTAATTTGCATTTCTTCACTAGTCTTTCATACTTCTCCAGTCCCAACTATAATCGAAATTCATTTCAAGGGAATTTCCCTCAGATCCATACTGTGATACAAAAGTACGACTTACATTATTTGATTGCAGGTACCATAGAGATCTGAGCCTATATAGGTTTCCAGCTCCTGTTCATCTTTGTAAACTCTAGAAACATTCTGTAAGTATGAAATGGACTTTATTTAGCTTGAGCAATGAAAACCCTATGATGTGAAACCTGTTATTTCATTTTCTAACTTATACAAGCAAATTCCAACTAACAAAGCCATGCTTGAATGTGACGAAGAGAACCATATGGATTCACAAAGCTCAGAAGTTTGCAACTAATACATACAGTTCAAAGGAAGGGGCAGAAAATAAGATTTTTCTAATAAATAAAAAGCAACACATTCCATGCCTAATAAGTAATGGCCATTGGGTCAATCATCTGAAACTACTAATAAGAACATATACTACACTTGTTCTTAACCAAAAGGCCGAGAAAGTGCGAGAAAGCCAAGAACTTAACCCTAAATTTTTTTTTATTAGGAAAAAGACAACAACGAAAAAAACAGAGCCTAATTGACCATGTCTCGCCCACAATAGTGCACTAATGAATTATGTTTGCCCCAAAATCATAATCTAAAGATGAAGCCTCCCCATGCAAATGAACACCATTTAAGAAAATCAAAGCAGGATGGTAACATTAACAAAACATCTTCTTTTTCAATAGTTTGCTAGAATGAAGACAATACACTCTTGATATCTAATTGAGGGTAACTGGAGTCCCACACCAATATCATCCATTCTATGTAGGGTGGTTAACAAATCTCATATGTGACAACGACTTCAATGCTTTTAAAAATAAATTTCAAAATAGAGAAGAGGTGTCAAAGCTCAGATGTGCTAAAGAAAAAGAATGTGCCTAGAATGTGCATGAACACACAACTACATACCAAAAGTAACAAAATCAGGCAATAGATAAGAATGGGTACCTTCAAGAGGGGAAATTTAACCGATATTATGTTAATCATTGACCTTGTTTCTTCGGTGTCTGGTGCAAAAGCCAGAAACTCCTCCTTATTCAACAGTAATTCCAAAACTTGTTTAAAGTTAGGTGATATTCCTTTGCCCACTTCCACAAACGTCCCTTTCCGGATATACCTGGTCAAGTCTCATTAAACTTAGCACCAATACTTCTCACAAAATGAGAAATTCCACACAAAAACCTTGCCCAAATCCATGTAGGGTTTTAATTTCATTTGTTTCCTTATTTCCTTCAAATTTATTTAGTATTGGGAGAATATTGCCCAAAGCGAAACATCCTTAAAATATGTAGTACCAAATCAAGTAAAAACCACACACACACGCCCTGCCATGCACACACGCACACTATATTACAAACATAAATGAAACACAAAAATTAGCCAGACTTTGTCGCCACTTACGGCTGCGACGAGTGAATCTCAGTATCAACACGCATCCTTATAGCTATTAACAACAACATTACTACTGTGGGGAGTAATATCTGCAAGAAAATCATAAAGAAGTTTCAGATTGGTTTCAACAACTATTTCTTCACAGAAGTGAAGAAAAAATCAATAAATAAGAAAATTATTTTAATTTGAAACAATTATGAATAACACCTAACGAGAAACTGCCACTTAAAAACTAAAATCCAAAAGGAAGACAATAAGTTTTCATTGTTTACTTTTACAATTAAAATGAAGGCACAAACAAACAACTACAACAACAACGAAGCAACTTGCTACAAGAACAAAGACAACGACAACAACTACAAGTTCACATGCTATCATAACAATCCTAATTACCTATATCCTTGAGAGGATCAAACTCAAAATCCGGCGCCGGCGAAACTCAAAATCGCCGGTCGCCACCTCTGTCAAAATGTCAAGTACGATGAGAGGATCAAACTTTATACCTGGGTCGACGGTTGACGGTGGCCGGATTTTCCGAAATCTCGCCTGTAAAGCTTCGGTGGCTGTGAAAAATCTCCAGCTTCGATTCTCCGTCACCAGTGGACCAATGAGGGGGCTCTTTGGTAGATTAGCTTCCTTCGAGGGCGGGGATCAAAACCAGATAGGTGGCGACGGCAACCGCCACCGAAAATAGCTCGAAATCGGCGGTTATTTTTGGGATTTCTTTCGAACGAGAAACCGTATTCCACTGCGGTAGGATTGGCTTAGTTTTGATGGAATAGGTAGAGGAAAAGCAGGGGAACATTTTGGGACAAAAACGGCGGCCATTGGTGACCGGACGGGAGAGAAACGCCGGCGAGAAATCGACGGCTACTGCAGCGTTGAGGGAAAATCAGAGCTAGAGAGATAGAAAGGTGGGGACCGGGGCGCTAGGAGTGTGACGTCTAGGAGTGTGACGTCTGGGAGTGACGTTTAAACCAAAATTTTCGTTTTTGGTTGGAAATTAAACCAAATTTTTCTAAAATGTTGAAATTGCCATTGAACTTCTTTAAATCACAACTCTTTCATTATAACTTGGATTTTTCGCATTACCCCCTAAACGAGTTGCATATTGTCCATTTAGCCCTTTAACAATTTTTCAGTAAATTAAAGACTCGAATTTTTTAAAAATCACCAATTGAAGACCTACCGTCAATTTAGACCCACACATGCATCAATCATGTTGCTCCCAACTCATTAGACCACAAAAGATGTCTTGGAGATTAGATATGGAAACCATCGAGATCGGTGAGACGGTGACGTTTCCTCCGATTCTTAGACCGTAGTAGAGAGATAGCTTTGTTTCAAACGTTTTGGTTTTGGTTTTGGGAATCACATTGTTTTGCTTGCTGATCTTGAAGAATTTGTATAGCTTCTTTGTGTTTGGTGCTGTTTCTTTGGGTTTAAAGAAAACTAGGACAACTCCATTCCAACTAAGGATAGTGTTTTTCCTTGTCGGTTTATCTCCATCCTCGATAAAGATAATTATTTTTGAATATTTAGGCATCAAGGTCTGCAAGTTTATACATTTTGGTACAGGCCTAGTTGCCATTCTAGTGTGTTTTGGTGGTCTGAAGCTTTGAAAGGTGCTTAAAATTGTGGTTTCAACAAGAGAAGCCATCTGGATTTGTTGTATTTTTTTGTGGGTATTAAGTGATTTTGAGCTGAACATATCAAGTGATTTTGAGCTAAAGATTGGAAATGACTATGTTTTGCAATGATGGTAAGGGAGGATTGGATAATGGCAAGTATGTGGGGGTTGGGTCTAGGAATTGGGGATCTATGGTCGATGGGGGTTGTTGTAACATCCCTGACCCAATTTAATCGATTTAATTCAATTTTTTATGAAATTACAATTTTGCC